GAATATAAAATTGTGTATATATAGAATATAAAATTGTGTATCAAAATAATGCCCTTCAACCCCATAAACAGTGGGATTCAGCACGGGGGGAATTAGGACGTATAAGTTGGCCAGAAGGATGTGAATATAGCCAGGAATATGATGGCCAAAGCGATGGGCGAAAAATGAAAAAAATGCAGCTGTGTAGAACATCAGTATGGTGCGGAGACGGGAGCCACAGGTGCCCAGAGCCTTCCTTCGTGCCGCCTTAGAAGAGACCCGGAAGACGGCTCTGAGGATCAGGGCATTCGATGCAGCAACCAGCAAAGCGTCGAGACCTATTGCCGGCAGGGCTACCGCAAAGCCGTACCAGATGTCGGTGGTGATGTCTGAGCAAGCCAATCGGGCAATGCCCATGTGCTTACAGTATGTGTGGGGAAGAGTGCTGCGTTGGCAGAAAGTCAGGCGCTTGGCAAGAAAGGTGGCAGGGAAAACTAAGCAGAAGCTTCTGGTTGTCGCTGTTATTCCAATTTTCCTGATGACAGAAGTGCTTAGCTCAACAGTGTACCGCGACGGGTCACAAATGGCAATGTACCGGTCAAAGGCCATGGCCATCAGGATGGCAGACTCAGGGACAGAGCTCGCACGGATGAGGAACTTCTGAGCTAGGCACGCCTCAAAGGAGATCTCCCCGGCCTGGAACCAGAAGAGGCCAGCGTCTTTGGGACAGTGGTGGTGGAGGGCAGCAGGTCAGTCGTGGCCAGCATGGAGAGGAACACGTACACGGGCCGGTGGAGGCCGCGCTCTGTGCAGGTGGCGCACAGCAGGGCCCCGTTCCCCAGCACAGAGACCGCATACATGAGGCAGAAGGGGACGGAGAGCCAGAGGCGAGCCGGCTCCATTCCTGGGACGTCCGCCGAGGCAAAGGTGCAGGAGGAAACGGGGTGTGGCTGGCTCCTGCCATCCAGAAACAATGCGGTGCTTTCAACCAACGCGGATGCTTTCCTGGGTACTAAGAAGGAAAGGCAGGACATGAGGAAAATTAGTTGGGCCTGGGGGGAAAGTGGGGAAGCTCAATTTTCACGAGACTCTGGCAAAAAAAAAAAAAAAAGATGACGTAACTCCATTCATTCAATTTTGCATAACATTCAAACTCTTGGGAAATGTTCAGAAAGCCCAACACATTGCCAGCCGCCTTCCCCAGCTGTGTACTGGCCCATGGCTTCCATTCTCCAACCTCAGGTTGAGAGAGACCCCCACCCCAAATCTCCACTGGCACCTCCTGCAGCCAGGAGGACCCCCCCCCCCGCCGCCCCAGCAAACCAACGGCCCCCAACAAAGCCACAGACAGCCGACGGGGGGAAACCGCGGGCCCA